TATATATATATAATAATAATAATAATAATATATATTATTATTATTATTATTATTATTATTATTATTATTATTATTATTATTATTATTATTATTATTATCGTTATTATTTTATTTGGTAAAAATATTTCCAATTAGTTCCAATTTACATATATGATTTTACATATATATTATACGTATTTTATTTATTATTAATGGAGATAAAAAGGAGACTCGATAAAAAAGAGTTGATATATTAAGATCTTATCACAAATAGTACGTAATATTTAATGAGAAACTTCCAATAGAAAATATTCTAACTTTCATTAACCGTTCATAATGTAGAAAACGCATAGAATTGTTATTTGAAAGAAAATTAAATTGAAGTTATTATTATATATTATATGCTACATATATATGTAATATTTTCATAAGAAAAATTATATTTTCCATTTTAATTCATATTTTTATCAATAAATGAATACCATGTTATCTTCGATTAATTATCTTAAAAAAAATTATGTTGAAAATATAATTATAAATGCATATTGCTGTTCCAGATAATATGATGATTATTTTCAAATTAGATTAGTCTTATTTTTTCTTTCATTTTATAATTTACAATAATATAAGAATTTAGAAAAGAACATAGAAAAATAAAAAAATAAAAATTAAATAAAAACATAAAAATTAGAATAAATAAATTAATATAATTATTTATACAAATAAAATTAAGAAGAATATGAAAGGTAAGCAAATATATTATGATATTCTTATGTAATGAAATAATTTTTTCGATAATAATGAGAAATGATTCTTATTGAAATGAACCATTAATGATTATTTAAACATTCATTTATTTTATTTAAAATTTTATTTTCTATTTCCATATTGATTTATAGAGATATATCATAATTTATATACAATTTAGGAAAGAATAATATTATTTACATTAAATTTGTAGATACATTTCTTTATTTTTAAATATTTGTCGCATTTTATTTGAAATTATTATTTGTATAATTTATCATAATTCTAACATATATTGTGCTTTTAGACATAATAATTCATGGAATTAAAACAAAAATATTAACATGGACACCAAAAACTCAATATGCTTCACTAATATTTCTCATTGGAATCAATGAGATATTTAGTTTATATATATTGAATCAAAAGAAAGTTTACGATATAGCTGTAAAATAATATATGCCGGCATATGCATCATTCTATATGTTATCCATCTTAATAAAATACTGAGAAAAAATTACGATTGGTTTCTATACGCAGTGATCAGTTTTAAATTCTATTTATCCATGGCTGTCATAATTCTTATGATTTTTATAGTTCTTGGAATCATGAATACAAAAGTAAGTATTTCTAAAACTATAATAATAGAATAAAGAAATTATAAGATTGTTAAATGAAATATAAATACTATAAGAAAATATTTATTTCTAGTTAATATATATAGCTATTTTTAATATTTATATCATCAATTACATTAACACATTTGAATCAGAATAATTAATCGAATAAAAAAATATAATATTTTAACTAATAAGAAATTTTTATTTTATAATTAGTAATAAACAATATTTTATAGTCTAGCAAAAATAAAATAATTAATATCTATCTACTTTTTCAAAATTAAGCTATTTTGATGATGAAATGAAAAGCAATATTAATATAATATAATATAATTTAATAATTTAAGACTTAAAATATTTAATAACAATAATATGACATACAAATATATGAATGATTCTCAATGTTTGCTTATCGAAAATTGATAATGAAGTATTTTTCGCATTTTTATTAATTTTAAATAAAACATAGTATTCCTCAAAAATCTTTTTAGTTTGCATTATTAACAAAATTCTGCATATTTGAATTTTTTATCCTTAATTATAGATGTTGAAACTTAAAAAATTATTATAAGGAATCTCATAGAATCTCACATCTATATGTTATTACGTATTTACAAAAAATCGAAAAAAAATTTCGAAAAAATTAAATTCAATTATTTTTATTTTATATGTTAATAATAAAAAAATTCAAACCTGATTGAACAAATATATTGGAAAATTTTTTTTGTAATTATTAATTATCACTTTTGTATGTTTCATTATAACTTTAATTTATGAAATTAATCTCTGTTTTGTTTTTAATCTTATAAACTTTTTTTATAAAAAGTATAAAAAGAAAAGCAATAAATATTCAATTAAAAAAAAATAAATAAATATGAAAAAATAAAATTAAATTATTATAATTAAAAATCAAATTTTATTTTTAATTTCAATATTCAATTTGTAATGAAAATAAAAATCAATAAAAATAAATTTTAAAAAAATGAATTTGGAATGACGCTGCTTCGGTTACGTCAAACAAATAAGGCAAAATGATTATATTTAGTAAGACTAGTAAATTTATTATAAGTGGTCTCCCAGCGCTGGCGAAAAATAAATTAATTTTATTAAAAATATACTGAAATAATATAAACCATCAATAATTTTATTAATAAAACTTTAAAAACATAAGACTTTAATTGAACGATAAATAATATGAAATCATAAGTCGTGTAAAAAGAGAAATAAAGATGAATAAAAATTAGAAGTGTCAAATAGTTATTAAAAATTAATTCAGAATAACGTAAGAAAAGATATTTATAAAATGAATCCAATATAAGTTTTTTGAAAACATATTTTTCTATAATTAATATCGTTCAATTTAAATTTTACCATTTAAATTTCCCATGAATGTTTGTTCTAATTTTAAAATAAACAAAAGAATAGAAAAAACTAATATGTATATTTCGACAAAATTGATTGCAAATTATTAATATATATAGGATAATATAATAGGATGAATAGAATCATTATTTTATATTGATCCATTTTTGAATATAGAATTAATTTTTTCTATAAAAAAACAAAAATGAAAAAAAATTAGTTTTCAGCAAATCAAATCGAGTTAAAAATAAAAATTTAAATAAAAATTTATTTCTAAAAATTTATTCGCTTTTATTGATGGCAGAAAGTGAAATAAACAATAAAAATTTTTGGTGATAAATATTAATTTTGTAAATAAATATTGAAATATTTCGTCCTAGAAAATAAATAGTGAATTTGACGAATATCGATACATGATGAATATACAGAAAAAATGTGAAAGTTTCGCTGTTTTTTAAATTATTTTATTAAATCATGTTGTTTTATTTAATTATGTAAAATATATATATATATACAATGGATAATTTGAATTTTAAAAAAAAATAGCTAAGATTCTCAAATTATGAAAATTTCGTTAAAAATTCTGATTAATAAAAAATTGAGAAAAATAGAAAAACTTAATTTATATAATTTATAGAAAATTTTGAATTTTAATTACAATTTTTTTTTTCTTAGATAAGTTCTTTTTTTTCTTTGAAATTTAAAATTACATTAATAATAAAGATTATTATTTTTTAAGAAATTTAAGAAATTTATTTATAGGAGTTATATTTTAATATTCTGAATACTTGGTTTTCTTTAGAAACTTTAATATGATTTTATATTTTCTAAATTATTTTTGATGAAAAATTTTAATGTATTATATAATGTTCATATTATAGATAGAAAAATGATTTAATGTAATTGACATGCTTCTTATCTTGAAGCTGATTCTATCTTCTACTCAGAGATAAATACGTAGAATTATTCAAATTATCTTATTCAAATGCAATTGATTATTTGATTTTTTCTGAATTGTTTTATATTATGTGATTTGTTATGTGAAAAAGTTTTGCTTTTATTTAATGTAAGATAAATAATGCATATAGGTGGTCTTTATTCGGTCTTCCATTGTAGTCTTAACCTTTTTTCGTTTATTTTTTTCTTTTTTTCTATTATTCTTTTATTTCTTTTCTTATTATTTCTTTTCTATTATTTTTATGCTCTAATATAACTATAATAAAAATATAATAATAACTACTTTTTTGTTGGAGTTTATTCATATTTATTCATTGTTAGTGTAGTGTTATTAGTTATTAATTATATATTCTCGAACGAGATGTGCTATTTGTGATATTGTATTTTTGCGCAATATTATATAATTCATTAAACACTTCTAAAAAATAATATAAACATAACGAATAGTCGATACGAACTATTAAATAAGTTGTTCGCAGAATAAAGCAACAATTTCGATTACATAATATATGTTATTTTTAAAGTTTAGAAGAAACTTTGTTTATAATACAATAATATTGTAATGAATAATCCTTTTTTATAAGTATAAAATTTTCAATAATCCCGAAAATTAACAATAATAATAATTCAAGAAGATTATTTGATAATTATTTGATAAAAGACTAAATGTTTAATTATATAATTATAATGAATATTCAACATAATATTGAAAGTCTTTTGTATTGATGCAATATCGGAATTATTGAAATCTATATTTGTTGATTTCTAAAATAATTTTATTATATCATAGCGATTTCTTCTTTATTTTATGTCACAAAATTACTTTAAAAAAGATACATTATCGAAACACATTTGTATTTATATGCTATGTGATTCAAAAAAATTATAATTTATATATAATAGCATTTCATAATAGCAATCGTGCAAACAAAAATAAAAGCTTCATTATCCTTACGGGACAATATATATTTAAAATAAAATATTTGCATCAATAATAACAACTCTGAAACATTAAAAGAAATATAAAATTAAAATAGATAACAAGTAAATAAATAAAAATAAAAAAGTAAATATTTCTACATTATTCTTTTGTATATTTATATATATATTCTTTATTTTTCTAAAAAAAAATTTTTACAATTCTTACAACTTTTTTTTTATGTTATAGCGTATGAAGAAAATTATTGCAAGATGTGAAGAAATAGATAATACTTTAGAATCATTTGGCGTTGAGAAAAATTATAAGAAAATTTTTCTCTTTATCACGCAATTATTAATCATATGGAGCATAGTGATGATAGGCTTTTTTGGATTAAATATATATTGGTTCACATATGAAAATACATATCTCCTATTGCATATACCAATTACAATTATTTATTTGGGGATTCTTACTTTTGCTACATTCGTAAGGTAAATTATATAAAAAATAACAGAAATAAATAAAAATAATTCATAAACTGAATGTTAACTAAATACAACGATATTAACTAACAATAAACGAAATGATAAAAATAGATATGATAATTTTCAGTTTCTTGCTATTATTAAATCGAAAAAATTTTTATAATTCTTACAAAAAATTAAATATGTAATTCATAAATATTTTTATACTCTTAACTTAAATATTTATTTTATACAAATTTTTTTATATTTTTAAATTTTTGTTAAGTATTTTAATAGATAAGTTACATAAGATGAACATGATTATAAAAGAAGTATACGAATTGTCGAATATAAATGACATTAAAATAAGGTATAAAATACAATCATACATTGCACGTAAGTTTATACTTATAATGGATTATTATAACAGAAAATATTTTACCGAGCATTTTCTCCAAATTACAAGGTATAATTAATAATTTCATAACAATAATATATAAAATGTTTATTATTATCATTATTAATTTATTTTTTTCTATTTATTTATCAAAGGCATATCCATTTTGAGATTCTCAAAATTTCACGTGAACTTAACCAAGCTTATACTTGTCAAATTTTATTAAATTTAGCGATGAATTTTATATTAATAACATATGCACTTTATAATATATATTTCTCTCTTATAAAATTAAAATTGACAGATTCGTTGACAAATAAAAGTAATTTATTACCTTTATTGTGGATTTTTGTATGTTCTTCGAAAATTATTTTCTTAAATAATCATTGTAATAATTTCTATCATGAGGTAAGAAAATTATTTTCTAATATAAAATTATATAATTAACATAAAAAACTACATAATATATAGATATATGTGTAATCATCATATTTTATAGGTAAAAATAACAGCACATTTGCTTCGAGAATTAGAAATTTGCTATTTGGATAATTCCATTAAAGAAAAGGTAAGATTTATACATTCATATAATAATTAAATTTAAATCTATTATGATGCAATATATCTATTATGATTTAATTTTATTAAAAATATTAAAAATATTAAAAAATATTAAAAATTATTAAAATATTAAAAATATTAAAAAAGTATTAAAATCAATAAATTTAATATACGCGCTTGTTTATTTTTCTATTTATGTTATTGCAAATCACATCTTAAGTAATACAAAAATGCTTGTGCTCAATTATGTAAAAATCATTGCTTATTTGTATCAATTATATGTATTTTAATAGAAATGCATTCATTTAGTGGGAATAGTTCAAATATTTTGTATGATTATACGATATATTGGTACGATAGTGCATTTTTTCATTGGCAATTTGAATATTTTACTTATGAATTGCTTGATTGCATAATAACACAAATGTATATTTATTTTAACTTATTATGAAATAGTATTGTTCTAAAATGAGTAACAGCTAATTTTGCCTAAAATAAGTATATTCCTTACTCTATTACTATATTGCATTTTTGTATTTCTTTGTTCAAAATCAGTTGCAAAGAGATAGATCCGAAAACAAGTGAGAAGTTTATAAAAATCCTGAATCTTTATATACGTTTGGAAAGATATTTAGAACAAAAGTAAGATTATACATTAATAATGTTCTTTAGAATAGTATTATTACTCGGTCAATCATTTTATAATTCGGTCGATTGTTTTTGATTTAAAATATTTTATTTTATGTTTCCTCTCGTTTTATTCAAAAACAAAAACAAACCAAAGAAAATATATGATTCGTATTAAGCATCTTTTTGTGCATTATGATTATTTCGATACAATATTATATTTATGATGTTTTGTGTATGATATGTAATGATATGTAAACAATTGAAAATTATTTTTTATTATTGCTGTCGTAATTAAACGGGGTATAATTATGAATAGAATAGAAGATATATAAGATAGAACTATAGGATAGAAAAATCAAGAGAAAGAATTTAAAGAATTCCATATACAATATATATTGCAAAAATGTTATAAGCTTTATAAAATTTTTAATTTTTTTAATTATCATAATATTTGAAATATAATTCTTGTCAAAACTATATGTGCTTAAAATTTTGACTTCATATTTCTACTTATATTCGTACTCTTTATTCTATACCGATTCTGATGAATTGCCGTTAAATATTGTGTTAGCAATTTTAAAACTTATCATCAAAAAAATGTTAGTGACTATTTTTAATTTAAATATTATTGATAGTTATATTTTAAATAAATTAAATCTTAAAAATAATAAAAAGATATATATTTTAAAGAATTTTATTATAAAAAAAAAGAGCACTTTATATACATATAATATTTTATATATATATATATTTTATATATATTTTTTTATCATGGATAATATTGTGGTTTTTATTTTTTAATATCATGCAATTAATTGAGAACTTAATTCAACTTAAATAATACAACTTAATTCAGTTATAGATTTTTAGATTTCTAGTTCTCCAGTATAATTTTCACTACTAAATACATAAGATCTCATTTCTTGATTACATTTTCTCCTTTTATATCCTTAAATATTTGAGAAATCGTTAGCATATTCCAATGAATTTTTACAAGATGCATATATTATTCTGCATGATTTATTGCAAATATGAAATCAGATCTTGTTTTAATAGATATATAATAGATAATAAAATATAAGAATATAATGTTCACTCATTATATGGTAGTTTTGATAGCTTTTTCTTCCTTTTCTTGATAATAATTGTTTGTTATTATTAACTAAAATTACTAATGCAAAACTTGTTATATATTAAATAGATTTTATAATTGTTATATATTAAATAGAATTCGATTATAAAATTCTTGATATAAAAATATCGAACCATTCCTACGTTATTTCTTTATATATCCGAAAAATAGTTAGATTTACTGATCTTGATGATCAAAATTTGAGTTTTAATTAAATTAATTTCAAAAGTTTTAACTTTACTTGCAATTATCATTAATATATATGATTAGAATAATTTGCAAATTTTTGTTTGAGTTCGTAAAGACACATGAATCTGCAGGTTTTTTCAAGTTAAATTTGATCCAATATTTTGAAGTTTGTTATATTTTATAGTCCATATACGCTATGATTTAGTTTGCAAACATGATGCGTTTCTAAACATAAATTGTTTTATATAAATTACTTTGTTAAGTTTACTAGAATTGCAGAATGCTTTTTATATCATATTGATGCAATTTCGTTTTCTTAGATATTGTAACTGTAAGAATTATTTTAATGAAATCATAATGAATATAATTGTGAATTTGATAATAATCTACTTTAAGTTTTTTTAAATTCGTATAACACCGATCTAGCTTTATATCTTTTTAATTTTAAGTATTGATATATTTTGCATCAGTAACATTTCTATTCTTTGAGCAATCAATTAATGATCCATTCTGGTGCCGCAAAGAATTCATCTCATTGTTCATGGTTTGTACAACTTATTTGTTACGTTTAAGAGTTTTTTCAGCTTTCAAATTCAAAAATTGTCTTAATATTATTTTTTTAACAAAATTAATATGCATATATCTCATCGATCGATTCAATTTTCTTCTCGTAAGTTATAATTCATCGGTTGAATCCCATATTCCATAAAGTGTGTTCATCTTAGTTTATCTTAAATTATTAGTTATTAGTTTTCTTGATTTTGTTTAGAGTACATTACAGTTTTTTATTAAAACCCACGTTCAATATTTTGCAATTTAATTTTTTACAATTTTCTATTTCAAAACAATATACAATTGAATTTGTACTTTGTACTCCATAAAAAAATCTTACTCTCTGCATATATCTTACTCGATAAATCTATAAGATAGTTATATTTATTTTAAAATCGGTTAAATTTATATAATCGGTTATGTTATAATATTGAATTTTATTATAAATTAAATAAAAAAAAACTTATTATAATTAAATAATTAATTAAATAATAATAGAAATATATTTTAGAGGAATTTTATTTAAAAAAAATACTTCTTTTCTTTTTACATATCTCTATCTCTTTATATCTCATTAGATTTTAACAATTCTATCATCACAGTTAAAGAAATTAATTTATTCTTTTCTTTTTTTCTTTTTTTAATTTATTTCCCATTTTTTTATTTTATTTAATCGATATTTTATTTAAGTGTTTTTTGAAGATTTTATTTAAGTATCAAGTATCAACATGCATTTATATGCAATCTCATCAGTATTGGTTATGATGTCATGTCAGACGATGATATAGAATTATGTTTGTTGCCACTGTCAAATCACCATTGTCGATATAATATTTAATGTTACTGATTGACATTATTTTGATAATAACAATATTAATTTTGCTATCTGATCTATACCTATTGTGTAACGCAATAAAAATTATCAAATGAATGTTTAATAAGATATATAAAAAATTATTTATCATTGGATGTTTTTATTGGTGAAGATTTGTTAAAAAAGTAATCATAAATTTTATCATCAGTTTGATTATTTTTATAATCAATTTTTATATTACATCACGTAATGAATAAAAGTCTTGGAGAAATATATATGTTTTTTTATAAAATTTTTTTAAAGAATGTTTATTAGTAGAATAATATTTTTATAAAATACATTTTTATAAAATTTTCATAAAATACATATTTACAAAATGATTTTTTTTATTTAATATTTATTTACAAAATAACTGTTTGCAAAATTTTAAAATCTGCATTAAATATATGCTATTGATAGAAAAGAAAACTTTTTAAGTTCATGAAATATTGTTAAAAATTACTTTCAAAATTGACCTTCAAATCGTATTAATTTTTGATGTAATTTTTAATAATTGTAAAATTTGAAGATCAAGTTATACTTAAAATATTTGGGTTTCGTCGCAATTTATTTAACATTCAATAAATAATATAATTATTTAATCAAAATGCTTGAATATGTTGATATTTGTATAATTAAAGGCTTTTCAATTCCAATAAGTAACATTGCATTTATATATCACAATAATATGTATCAATAATATTATTATATAATAATATATAAGATATAAAGATTATAGAAGATTATAGAAATATATATTGAAGGTATTCTATTTATACCTCAATTATGAGATTGACTTATTCTCTGATATTTTGATTTCATATGATTTTGAAATTGCTCTCCAATTATTAAAATGTATAATATTGCTCTCAACATAGCAACTTTTAATATATTTCATAAATTCAGATGAAATTTTGTAAATAACATATAATACTTGATACAGACTTTAAAGTTTTGTAAAGATATCATTCTATAATTATTATTGAATAATTAAGTATTCAAGTGTTAAGTATTCAAAAAACCATATAAATATATATTTTATAAAAAAATTCTAAACATCCTATAAGAAAGTACATAAATAAGCATTCTATAAATAAAGTAAATTCAGATAATTATAAAATTTTAATATTTATTTTCTAAATTATAACATTTTTTCAAAAAAATTGTATATTTGCAATTTATATTTTTATTTCTTGTAATGAGTACTATATCATACTTAAAATCATTTTCAAAATTACACAAAATAAATTGTTAAAATAGAGTAAAATAAAATAAATATAAAACGAATAGAGCTTAAACAATCTATCCGATCACTTGCCTTTTAAAAGTAAAATAAAAAAAAAGTTAAGTAATTTTTTTGGTTTCGAAGTTTCACAGATATAATGTGATATCAACAATTTTTTATGTGAAAACGGGGAGATATAAGAATTTTATATTTTTAAATAAAATGTTATGTTTTTATATTTGTATTATAATAAAACATTTCAAAGTGAATTCAATAATATATTTAGAAAATCACTTAAAATTAATAATAATGAAGTCGTAAGTTACTTTAACAAATTTTTATTAAATAGTCGCGGAAAAATAAACATAAAAAATTATACAAACTTGGAAATTATAATATTTTATATAATTGTCGTAAAGAAAAAAAAAACTAAGTTTTGTATTTATCTACGAGCATTTTTATAAAAACAATAAAAATATTTTTGAGTAAAACATATAAATATATTTTATATATAATTAAAATCGCATAATTTCAGTTAATCATATCTAAATTCTCACATTGAACTTAATACATCTAAATAACAAAAAATCTATTTTTCATATTCTCGTAAAAGAATATTCCTAGATTAATTCATGTTTTTTCAAGTATTACCTTAAAAAGTCATTATATTTGCGAATTATTTATTCTTATTATTAATTCTTATTCTATATTAATGTCAAATGATTTAACAATATTCTGATGAAGAAAAAGCAAATCAACAATAAACAGATGATATGAACTAAACGATAAAATTTTATAATTGCATTATAATTTTTTTAAGAATAATAAAAATATTGATAATTTCCTAAAATTCAGTTTTTATTATGTTAAATAATATAATTCGAACAAAAAATATTTATTTT